TCTCACTCTCTGTCTCTCTTTTTGTCTTTCCCTTTCTTTATTGACCATAAGAATCTCGGAGAAGGAACTTCTCAATTAAAAGAACCAAAAACTTGCTCCTTCCTCATTCGATCCTTCTCACAAATTCAATATTTACATATATATACACACACACACACACACATATATATATATATAAAAGATGAAGCTCTGCCTCATGCTCCTCCTCCTCCTCCTCGTTTTCTCGCGTAATTTTTCTTTTATGTATCTCTTTCTGATTTTTTTTGGTATCTCTCATACATGAATGCGTGTGTTATGATGATGTATATACATCTATACGCATATACATATATACATATATGCACATGAACATGCGATATACGCTTCCATGTCCTTGTACGTACAATTTACTCACATACATATGATGGGTCGATTTCATTTATTGCCATGATAAGATTTGGTAGTATCCGCGATGATGTATTGAAGATCGACATCATCAAATACACGCGATGCTTTGGTACACCGTATATACTTCCGGTGCAGCTGCTCTTGTGGATGAGTACATATACATATATACACACACACATATATATATATATATATGTATATATGTGTGGATGATTGTAAAATCTTGGTCACGCATGAATCATGCGTACGTATATAGGTATACAAACGCCGGGAAACCGGTCGATGTTTCTGAATCGAATCACTGACTTTGTACGGAACAGACGGCGGTCAGATGTCGGAAACGGAGGCGGCGAGGATACCAGAGCAGACGTGTCACAAGGCGATTGGATACGGGTGGGACCTGAGATGCGAACCGGGGAGATGCCAACGTGAATGTTCGAAGAAGCCCAGCGGAGTCGGAGTTTGTCGGGACAACAACACTCTCTGTTACTGTACTTACTTCTGTAAGCAGCCTCCGATGTAGCTTAATAAAAATAAAAATTATATTATGCTTATATATATATATATATATATATTGTAATGGAATTATGGGCTAAGAAATGTTTTAGGATCGACGCTTCCTATTTAATAGAAATATAATTATGGCTCAGAGATATTTATGATGATGCCTAATTTTGTGATCGACTCTATCTCTAGATTTTTTTTTAATTAATACAAAAGTATTTGTAAACATATATAATTAACTTTTATTGCCTTATGATCGTGCCTAGCTAGTTAGATGCGATACGATTATGCAATATTAAAGTTTATATCTTATTACATCGTGGAATAGATAAATTCATTATGTTATCTATATAATTTAAAATAAATAAATAAAATTTAATTGAAGGTAGAAAAATAAAATAGGATGGCGTATTTTGTCTATATTCCGCCCGTGGACCAACTGCTAGAGCAGTTAACTTGATTTATGATTGGGAACACAAAGCAGGCCATAAATGAAGCATGAATCTTGTGACATGCAAATTACCAATTAAACTTTGGTATATCATGTATATTTTTTTTCTATATATAATGAAAATATTCAACTTATTAAATGGAAAGGGTAAAATCGTCATAAAAGTCGCACAAAAATCGAAAATATCATAATTTGTTCGTAATCCAACCAATTAAAACAGAGGAAATTCCGACTAATTTTCAAAAAATGATTTGAAAGTATATATATATATATATATTTGCTTTTGTAGAAAACTATATATCATTGATTCATTGTCATTGATCTAAGATTTGAGAGAAATCAAAATCAAATCTCTCTCTCCGTGAAATCGTCGATTTTCTTTCTCGAAGATCAATCGATCTTCCTTCTTCACCGGTCTCGGATTACGATTTCAGTGCTCTTTGAGTCCTTGTATGTGTTTCAGTTGCTGTTGGAAATCCGACTCGACTTTTTTTTTTAATAAATATTTTCCTGTGCGACATCTAGGGTTTTTTGGGGGAGATTTTTGGTGCGCGTCGAACTCTGGCGGGTTACCGGGTCAAGTAAATGGTGGATCCTCCTGGTGTCTGCTCCATTTCATTTGGCTTCCTTCGACAAAATACGGCGAGAAGTTTTTGGTTTTGTGATTCGATAGTGTTACAGTTGTGTGACGATTACAGGGTCTGAGCGGAAAGCGATGCTTAGCGTGGTTCGGGTGCATCTACCGTCGGAAATTCCCATTGTCGGCTGCGAGTTAACTCCGTACGTGCTTCTCCGTCGACCGGACAAGACCGCCACCACCGATGATGTCCCGGAGTCGGCTCCGCTCGAATGTCACTTCCTGAGGTACAGATGGTAAGTACTGTATATGCCTTTCTCTGATCTCTGTTTTTTTATGCCGATATCTGTCGAATTGCCTCCATTTTGAACTGCTTTAGTGTCTTGGATCCTTTGGCTATTTTGGGTTTGAGCTAAAGATCGAGATTTGTTGGTTTACTTTGTCCGCGGGAGAGAGCTATTGTTGATGTAGGTGTGATGCTTAGCTTGATGTGTTTTGTCATTGAGGGATAATCAGTTGTAGGCTATGGAAATGGTGGGTTCAGGACTTTGCTTCAAGGTTGTGGACTGACATTTGTCTTTCTGATTTAATCTTTGATTCGCCCTCTGGATTTCTTGTAGGTATCGTGTTCAGAACGATAAGAAAGTTACAATTTGTAGTGTGCATCCGTCAGAACAAGCTACCCTGCAGTGTGTATCCTGTTCAAAGCATAAGACTCTTATTGTGAAAAGTTACCATTGTTCGACGAAATGCTTTTCAGATGCATGGCAACATCATCGCATTTTGCATGAACGAGCTGCCAAAGCTGCTGCAGAAAACGAAAATGACGAAGATGAGTTAGTTCGATTTAACAGCACAGGTTCTGGGGTACTGAGCTCTGGTAGTTTATCCGGGTCTAACTTTTCCAATGGTTCAGTCCCATTTTATCCCGCAACAATTACGTCAAAAAGCAGTGGAGGAGAGGCACTGGTTGAGGTCGGACGCTCTAAAACATACACACCTACGGCTGACGATATAGGCTACGTTTTGAAGTTCGAGTGTGTTGTCGTCAGTGCAGAGACTAAACAGGCCGTGGGACAACCTAGTACCATATTGACTTCACGTGTTATTCCAGCTCCTTCTCCAAGTCCCCGTAGGCTGATCCCAGTTGGTGGAATAGATCACCTAGATCAAGACGGCCGCCTTATGTCTGCAGGATCATTCACTGTTCTCTCGTATAATATCTTGTCTGATTCGTCTGCCGGTGGCGACTTATACAGTTACTGTCCTCCATGGGCTCTTTCTTGGCCATACCGAAGACAGAATTTATTAAGGGAAATTGTTGGGTACCGTGCAGATGTAGTTTGCCTGCAAGAGGTATGTTGTTCTGTATGAAAGTAGAAAAAACAAAATCTTCTGGAAAGGATATAATGTTCACTTCCAGCCATGGATGAATCTGAAGAATATTCATTTAAGCAACGCAAGCAAGAATTCAGTATGATGGAGTTGTTTTTCTGTCTTCCTTTTCTGTGGCAGGTACAAAATGATCATTTCGATGACTTTTTCGCTCCTGAACTTGATAAGCATGGGTATCAAGCTCTGTACAAGAGGAAAACTAATGAGGTCGGTTTGATTCTCCCCACCCCGCCCTCCTCCTGTGGTTATAATTTCCAAATATATTGACCATGTCTTATTAATTCTTGTGATAATCTTAGGTTTCAAGTGGTAATACAAGCACAATTGATGGCTGTGCTACATTTTTCCGGAGGGATAGATTTTCTCATGTCAAAAAATACGATGTATGTATCAGTTTCAACTCTTCACAGCTCTCTCTGTTTCGTCTGTTGATCATTTGTTTGTTAATCCAGGTTGAATTCAATAAGGCTGCCCAGTCTTTGACTGAGGCTCTAATCCCTAGTAGCCAGAAAAAAACTGCTTTAAACCGACTATTTAAGGTATATTCACACGCTTTGCTTCATGTATTTTGAATAACTGCTGATCTTTAGAGAATAATTAGTCACATAACCCATTCTGGGCATTCTTATTTTCCAGGATAACATCGCTTTAATAGTTGTTTTGGAAGCAAAATTTGGTAATCAACCTGTCGATGCCTCAGGGAAGCGCCAGCTTATATGCTTGGTGAGTTACATTTAGGATCGTGTTCGCTTTGTATTCTTTTAGCGAAATATGCTTTTAATGCATTCTTGTAATTGTGTTCTAATTTGTTGGAGCTAGGCAAACACACATGTAAATATTGCTCAAGAGCTAAAGGACGTAAAGCTCTGGCAGGTTTGTGTTTCCACCATTCTTGGAAGGACACATTCCATGCAGTTGAATCAAAATATTCACTTCGTGTTTGTTTTTCATTTGAATTAGGTTCACACATTACTAAAGGGGCTGGAGAAAATAGCTGCTAGCGCCGACATCCCAATGATTGTGTGTGGAGATTTCAATACGCTTCCTGGGAGGTCTGGTTGATTCACCGAGTTATTTTACCCGATATTAGCCAATCTTAATTAAGCTAGGGTTATTTGGATTTTTTCGGGTTTGAATCTGATACCGCTTCCTATGTTTTTTTTCTAGTGCTCCTCATTCGCTTCTTGCAATGGGGAAGATCGACCCTTTGCACCAGGATTTGATGGTAGATCCTCTTGGAATCTTGTGTCATACCAAGTTGACTCATCAACTGCCACTGGTAATGTTTCTTTTCAACAGAGTAGAATACATTTTATCCAAAAATCTAACCCAATTTGCTACATTCTTGCCCTTTCCTCTCCTGGATCTTTTTTTGACTAAACACAGTGATGTGACTCGTGAGATGAAGAGGAATCAAGACATCATGGTCTGACTGACACAGTGAATGTTTCAGGTGAGCGCTTACTCGTCCTTTGCAAGAACGGGGATGGGTCTTGGAACGGAGAAACATAGGAGGAGAATGGACCCGACAACAAATGAGCCTTTGTTTACAAACTGTACGAGGGATTTTATCGGGACCCATGATTACATATTCTACACAGGTTAGCTTCTAGCCCTCTTCTTCAATCAGCAGCAGCTTCACTTGTAGCAAATCTTAATAAAACAAGAGCATGTGTGTTTGGCTTTCGGGTTTTTTTCAGCGGACACTTTGACAGTGGATGGATTGTTGGAGCTGTTGGATGAGGAGGGCTTGAGAAAGGACACAGCTCTTCCTTCCCCAGAATGGTCATCTGATCATATAGCTCTGTTAGCCGAATTCCGCTGCATGCCTAAGCCCAGACGCTTATGATTTCGGCGTTGGCAGATCACTCTCTGAGTCAGTTCTCCGTTTCGGTAAAGTCTTTGCCGCGATGGGGCCTCTGCTCTGTAACTTGTAACCTGCTCTCTTCATCATTTTGATCTTTGATAGATAGTAAAAAAAAAACCCCTTCACCATGCCATTTTTCCATTGCTTTTTTTTTGTTCATCACAACAATGGCTTACTGTCTTGACTTATCACGGTAACTACGTAAAAAGGGTTTCTATTGAGATGAGTGAGAAGACAAAAAAAAAATTGTAGTATTTTTTTGTGCACCCTGAACAAAAAAAGGTTGACTAAGGGGCGTTGACGGAAAATGGAGAGACGTTGAGTTAATTACATGCCGAGTTAAAAAAAAAAAGTTTTCCGGTTTGATATTCAATTTTCAAATATCAAGGGAGCGTTGTTTATTTAAATTAAAAGGAACACCAAATGTCATTTGATGCGAACTCAGAGTTTTCGCCATCTCCTCCTCCGTCTTGTTTTCTTTTCCCCCCCTACCATAAAGCCATTCTTCAGATTGCCCATGTTTCTTCTCTCCTGAAGCGAGACATTTCCTTCCTCTGAGTTCTCTGTCTCTTCCTTCTAGGGTTCTTCTTTGTTCAGGGTTTTGGGAAGGAAAGTGAACAACTTGATCTTCCTCGGACGATATGGGGGATTTGGAGGATCCAGTTGAAGGCCATTCTCCCCAAGAACTGGCTCCTCAAGACTCGACACCCCTTCGTCACTTTAGCCGAGGTTTATCTCTCTTAACTTTGCTTGCTCTGGCTTTGAAATTTTCAGTTTTCTTGTACGATCAACCCCGGTTTGGAACTTGGGTTTTCTGTTTTTTCACGAAAGAAATCTGGGTTTTGTGAAATCTTCGTTCTTGTTTCTTGGGATTTTTATTTTGAATCTTGATTGTGGCCCTTGTTCTTTCGTATAATATATCGTCTGACACGTATGCTAGTGGCGACATATACAGTTGCTGCCCTCCATGGGCACTTTCACGGCAATACCTGAAGACAATAAGATTTCTTGGTTTGGAATCCAGGCTGAAGGTCTGAGCAAATGCTGCAGACTAGGAAAAACGATTATAAAGTAGGGTTTGTGGGGGTGAAAATTCACTTGATTCCCTTATGAAATCTGTACATGAGACTAGTTTATATACACAGAAACATAGCAGATGAAAAAGGAATGATACTAGATATTCACATAAGGCAATATTGGATTGCCGTGAACCTACAGATGGAAACTGTATATGGAGTGATTGTATTCTGATTCTTTGTCCAGATTTCTCCTTAATCAACGTCGTGTGAGTTGCTCTGATTTAGGCATGATGTGTCGGTGTCATACTCAGTAACATCCCCCCTCAAGATTGGACGGGAATACTCGATAAGTCCAATCTTGGAAAGACATTTGTTGAGAACGAGGGAACTCGTGGCCTTGGTGAGAATATCTGCAAGTTGGTCCTGGCTTCGAGTGTATTTGGTCGAGACAAGTCCTTGTGTAATCTTCTCTCGAATAAAGTGGCAGTCCACTTCTATGTGCTTCGTCCGTTCATGGAAGACCGCGTTTGAGGCTATGTGAAGGGTTGCTTGGTTGTCGCAATGCAATGTGGACGCTGTGTTTGTTGTGATTCCCACATCGTTGAGCAGTTGTCGAAGCCATAATACCTCGCTTGTGGTATTCGCCATGGCTCTGTATTCGGCTTCAGCACTTGATCTTGCTACCACCGTCTGCTTCTTGCTCTTCCATGTGACTAAGTTGCCTCCTACAAATGTGCAGTAGCCCGTAGTTGATTTCCGATCCGTGCGATCTCCGGCCCAATCCGCATCACAATATGCTACGATTTCAGTGTGGTGGTTATTTGTCATCCAAACTCCTTTGTTCGGTGTGCCCTTGAGATACTTGAGAATCCGTTCTACCATCAGCCAGTGAGTAGTTGTGGGTGTGTGCATCCATTGGCTTACCTGGTGGACAGCAAAACTCACATCAGGACGTGTAATCGTAAGATAGATGAGCTTACCTACGGTGCGGCGATACTGTTCTGGGTCAGTGAGCAATTCCCCTTCTTGTTGATCTTTGAAATGTTCTTCTATTGGAGTTTTGACAGGTTTGCATCCGAGTTTTCCTGTTTCCTGTAACAAATCTAAAATGTACTTTCTTTGGGACAAAAATAGTGAGTTAGTGGTTCGAGTAATTTCAATGCCAAGAAAATACTTTAACTCGCCTAAATCCTTGATATCAAAGACGGAATGGAGGTATTGTTTTGTATCTGCTATGCCGGATTTATCACTACCTGCGATAATGATGTCATCGACATAGACGAGAGCAAGAACAATACCAGTGGGCGAGTGATGGATGAAAAGCGAGTGATCGGAATCACTGCGCACGAACCCTTTTCCGGTGAGTGCTAAAGATAGTTTATGGTACCAAGCTCTCGGGGACTGTTTGAGGCCGTAAATCGACTTATGAAGTCGACATACCTCTCCCGGTTTGAGCGGACGATGATATCCCGGAGGAGGAGTCATATAAATTTCTTCCTCGAGATCACCTTGGAGAAATGCGTTTTTCACGTCCATCTGCCATAAATCCCAATGTAAGTTAATGGCCAAAGATAAGATAACTCGAACCGTGGAAAGTTTAGCGACGGGTGCGAAAGTGTCGGTGTAGTCTTCGCCATAAGTTTGAGTGTATCCCTTGGCAACTAAACGGGCTTTGTAACGCTCGACTTCTCCCGTGCTAAGGTACTTGATCTTATAGATCCATTTGCACCCGACGACCCTTTTGTTCGGAGGTAATTGTGTGATTTCCCAAGTCCCATTGCGTTCAAGTGCTGAGATTTCATCCTCCATAGCTTGGCGCCAAATTGGATCATCCTTGGCCTGTAAGTAATGTACCGGTTCCTTACCCTGTTCAACAGTGCTCAAAAAAGCCTGATCAATAGGATTAAAATGAGATAACGAGGAATATGAGAGAATAGGGTAATGTATGGCCAGGTTGGTTTTTCGAGAAGGAACGGAAGGCATCAACCATTCCGGGCCCAGGCGTGTGGATGGTTTGTGTGGTCTAGAGCTCCTGCGTAGAGGAGGTGATGAAGAGGCAGGTGGCAACAACATCGAATCTGATGCAGTGGAATGATCTCCTGGAACAATTGTGTTCATGTGAGTATGGGTGATGGGTTGTTCCCCCTGAGTGCAAGGATCATCAACGACATGTGGGACCTCAATGATGGGTGCAGGTGTTGCTTTTGGAGAAGTAGATGATACCTGGGAATCTGCACTAGAGGAGGTTACGTGTTCAACATAAATAGAGGGATTAGAAGGCACCTGGGAAGAGATAACAACGTCGGATGGTGGTGCATGTGTCAGTGGCACTTGTTGAGATGAGGAAGACTCGTTCTGCAGTTGACTTAAGTTTTGTACAGACGTAAGATATTGCATAATCGCTTCGTTATAATCGTTACCTTGCCGCACAAGATTCTCAAGGGCTGACCAATTATGAGTGTCAAAGTAGCTCACTTCCTCGACAAACTTGACGTCACGAGAGATATACGGATGACGGCTTTGAGGGTGATAACATAGATACCCTTTCTGATCTGTTGGGTAGCCCAAAAATACACACCGGATGCTCCGAGCATCAAGTTTATCTCTAGCCCCTTCAGGAACACGCACGAAACATACGCAACCAAATATCTTGAGATGATCAAGAGAGGGTTTTTGGTTGAACATTACCTCATGAGGAGAACGATCATTAAGAATCTGAGTAGGAAGACGATTAATTAAATAACATGCCATTTTGACCGCGTCGCTCCAATATTGTTTCGGAACACGTCGGTGGAATAAGAGCGTACGTGCAACCTCCATAAGATGCCGATTCTTTCGTTCGGCAACGCCATTTTGTTGGGGCGTGTGCGCACACGACCGTTGATGAACTATTCCATGAGTACGGAGGTATTGACGAAATTGATCACCCATGTATTCACCGCCATTATCTGAACGAAAAATCTTAAGTGATACACCAAATTGGTTAGTAACATAAGAATGAAAATCCTTAAACGCTTGGAAAACATCGCTTTTCTTTTGTAATGGAGTTAACCACATGTATTTAGATTTTTCGTCAATAAACGTAACAAAATACTTAAAATTATCTCTAGAAAAACAAGGGGCGGTCCATACATCCGAATGAACTAAGTCAAAAATGGTATCATAAGTAGTAGAAGAAACGGGAAAAACAGAACGGACATGTCTCCCAAGCGTACAAGCCTCGCAAAAGGGATCGGAATGTTTATGATCCGGAACAAGTAAAGACAAAACACGAGAATGAGGATGGCCCAAGCGGGCATGCCATATTTCCGACGAAATAGAAAGAAAGCTAGAGTGTAAGGCCTGAAGTTCTTCAAGATAAAAGAGATTGCCATGTTTGAATCCTCTGCCCAGTGTCTCATTGGTCTTAATATCCTGAAACAAGACTTGATCAGCGTCAAAGACAACACGACAGTCTATTTGTTCAAGCAATTTCGAAAGAGAAAGTAAATTAGTTTGAAAATCTGGAATAAAGTAGCCAGATAAGGCTCGGCCAAATAATCGCAGAGTGCCATGGCCCTTAACTGGCACACGAGCACCGTTGGCGACGGAAACAAAACCACTGCAAGCTGAGATAGTATCAAACCAGTGAGAATCTTTGAACATATGGGTGGTAGCACCTGAATCGATAATAATATTAGACAAAGGGTTAGAGTTACCAGATTCTTTTGTGTTCATGGCCAACAAGAATTGTTTGAAGCCCCTGAGTTCATCTGTGGTGAACGAAATTGATGTGTCTCCTGTTTCAGGAAGTGTACTTGCCGTCATGGCTGTGCCTTTGGGATTGCCAACATCCCTGTAGCGAGCAGGTTTCAGATGCGGGTTGAGAATCCAACATCGATCCTTGGTATGACCGGTTCTCTTGCAATGTTCACAAAGCAGATTCCGACGGTCGCGAGGTTGTGACATGGGAAAAGCTGGGCGTTTGACCAGATGAGCGAGTTCTGGAGGGCCGGTGAATAAGTTCCGTCCCCCTTCTTCCCTTTTTACCATCATGCAGACTTCATCGAAGCTAGGAAGCTTTGCTTGTCGCAACAAGTGATATATCAAATCGTTAAAAGAAGCATCAAGTGTAAGGAGCAAAGAGAAGACCTTATCCTCTTGCACACGTTCAAGAGATGTTTGTTGATCAGTAGTAGGTGGCCGAATCTCATCAAGTTCAGCCCACAAGGCACAGAATTCGCCTTGGATCTTGTGGAAAGGCTGGCCATTCTGATGCAAGTTGAAAAGTTTCTTTTTGATTTCGAAGATCCGGCTGGTGTTTGACAGATTTCCATACACTTTCTTCAGAGAATCCCAGAGGGATTTAGCGGTGTCATTGGCAATAAAAGACTGCAGAATGTTAGCTTCCAAAGAGCTCTGCAGGATCACGAGGGCCTGGCTATCGGATTGTTTCCAGGTCGCTTGAGCAGTTTCTTCTTGTGTATTTTTGAGAGCCACTGCCTCAGGATCTTCTCCCTCCGCAGGAACGAGCGTAGGTTTGGCTATCCGTGTGGTTAGAACGTGTTTCCATAAGCCTTTGCTATGAAGGGCGGCCATCGCCGCTTTCGTCCAGTAGAAATAATTGTCGCCATTGAGTAAGATGGGAACAAGTTTGCCCTGGTTGTCCATTGCTGTCAAGTATGAAGACAAAGGATACACAGAGAAGAATTTAAAGATATTAGCGCAAACAAATAACCACAGTTTCAGAGATCTTTCCGCTCTGATACCATGAAGACAATAAGATTTTTTGGTTTGGAATCCAGGCTGAAGGTCTGAGCAAATGCTGCAGACTAGGAAAAACGATTATAAAGTAGGGTTTGTGGGGGTGAAAATTCACTTGATTCCCTTATGAAATCTGTACATGAGACTAGTTTATATATACAGAAACATAGCAGATGAAAAAGGAATGATACTAGATATTCACATAAGGCAATATTGGATTGCCGTGAACCTACAGATGGAAACTGTATATGGAGTGATTGTATCCTGATTCTTTGTCCAGATTTCTCCTTAATCAACGTCGTGTGAGTTGCTCTGATTTAGGCATGATGTGTCGGTGTCATACTCAGTAACAATACCGTAGACAGAACTTATTACCGGAAATGGTAGGGTACTGTGCAGATATAGTTTGTGTACAGGAGAGGAGGTATGTTAATGATGTCTGCCTATGGTTCATTTATGAGAAGATCCAAAGGATGATACCGCATTTCATTTAATCAATACACATGGTTAAGTAGTTTATTGAAACTTTTTATCTTACAGGATTTCTTTCCTTTTTTTTTTCTTCTTGCAGGTACAGAGTGATCATTTTGAGGAGTTTTTCGCACCCGAGCTGGACAAACACGGGAACCAAGTTCATTTTAAGAGGAACACCGATGAGATTTGTTTTGATGCTCTTCCTTGACCCCCAAAACCCTTTCTTCAGTTGCTTAAGCTAATGCAGTTGTGATGATCCGTTGGCCATGACATATTGATTCAATTGATAATCTCAGGTTTTCAGCGGTAATACAAATACAATTGATGGATGTGCCACATTTTTCAGAAGAGTAGATTTTCACATGTGAAAAATATGAGGTATGTGTAGTTTCAACTTTCAACTGTTGGTAGCTCTATATGTTTAGGCCCTTTTGTAAATCATGGGTCCAGGTTGAGTTTAATAAGGCTGCCCAGTCTTTGGCTGAGGCTCTTGTTCCTAATGCCCAGAAGAAAACTGCTTTAAACCGATTGTTAAGGTACTTGGAGTTGGTCTATTCTGCAATTTCTGTATCCATGCTTATTCTCATGGTATTCTTTCTTTTATAAGTACTGATTTAAGATTTTCATGCTTTCTAGGACAATGTTGCACTGATTGTTGTATTGGAAGCAAAATTTGGTAACCAGGTCGCTGATAATCCAGGGAAGCGCCAGTTTCTTTGTGTGGTGAGTGTTTTTTATTGTGGCATTCAAGACTAAATGTATGTGTTTTCACCTAATTCTATCTAAAAAGTGTCGTAAAGATTGATCTTAGAATCTTAGGAGTTCGTTTTAAATTTTATCTTGGAGTTCTTGTCTCTTCCCTCTGTTGGCCCTTTTTGTTAAGCCAAAAAATTCCCTTCTTGTTTCGGCGGTCACTCTGTGGATGAGGAAAGCTTGAGGAAGGACACAGCCCTTCCTTCACCAGAATGGTCTTCTGATCGTACAGCACTCTTGGCTGAATTCCGATGCATGCCTAGGACCAGACGCTGATATGCAAATGATGCTTCTATAAGGCTATAGACAGTGCAGATGGATTTCGGAACACTCACCAAATAAAACAATTTGAATCTGCCAAATTTAGCATCGAGCAAGTACTTGGTCTTGAATTTGTACGTTAAGCTTTTGTTTTCATCTCATTACCACTTCTAACATTTTTAGTTACTTGGAAATGTGAATCTCTGGACATTATTCTTCCAGATGACATAGCTGCAGATGAGACACTTCAGGTATTCCACTTCTAAGGCTTCTGCTTTTTGCATGGTACATCTACTAAAACTGGTTTTTGTGTGTTCTGAGCTATAATGACTAGTTCATCTCATTCTGGAGAATCTTCTTTACTTGGCTCCCTTAGTTCTGCCAGCGACTCTTCACATCCCCTCGATGATCTTATACCATCTTTACGTAAAATCCGTAAACTGGCAGGTGGCATGTCTTTGACGCTTTCTTCAGTTCAGATTGGCTTTAAATACTCCGGTTTCACTGGGTGGACTTATATCCTGAAACTTCTTCTTTCTGTGTCTCTGTCTCTTAATCTTTTCCAGAACTCTTGGATATGCCTTTGAAGCCCATAATTTTGGCTTGGGAAAGTGGGGAGTTATTCAGCTGAGAGCTGAGGTACGGAGGAGACTCGTTTGATTCATTCTGACACATCATTATTTAACCTTCGTTTAGTGGCATTTTTCTTGCTATATTCTGCATAATTATAGTCTTATGATTAAGTGTTCACCACAAGAGATCTACATTGTAACATGTCACCCCCTTTCTTCATGTCTTCCACCTCATTGTAAGATTTACGGTCACGACTTGCTCTATGGCTTTTTTTCTTTCTTTTTGGTTCTTCTATAGTTCTTCCTCTATGCCTGTAGATTTTTTCCCACTGGCTTATTATTGTAACGTTGAAAACTTCAATTTCCTCGAGAAAATCTAGTGGCTGGAGAGGCTGTTTTTGTTGGAACAAATGTGACTCAAGGCCACGTCACGTGAGCTGGAGACAAATTGTCAATTCAAATGCGTGATTCAAGGCTAAGGAAGATCAGTTTCCAGATTCTGTAAAAATCTGGCACTATCATATCTTTCCTATTTTTCTTTGCAAGATTTTAGGATATTTTGATTTGATTTGATTTAGCTAGTATATTTAGAGTTGATTTGATTTTATTTCTATTATTAAGTTTTTGTCTGCTTTCCTATATATGTAATTGTTTTCTGATGAATAAAATTAGTTGAGTTTTCTCAAATTTCTTTGTTCTCTGTTTGTATTTCTGTAACAGAGTTTCTGTTCGAATTTGAGTGCTCACTCACCCAGACCGAAGTGCCACTGATCCTTATCTCGGGTCGAACAGTGGTATCAGAGCGCCCGTTGATTCTATAGGGATCTGAGGGTTATCAAAGCTGACGATGGATTCGAATTCTCCCCCAGTTTTTGATGGAGAAAACTACCAGATGTGGGCTGTGAAGATGAAGGCATACATGAAGGGTGCGGATCTGTGGGAAGCTGTCGAAGAAGACTATGAGGTGACTCCTTTGGGAGCAAATCCGACGCTGAACCAAATGAAGATCTATAGAGATAAGGTAACGAGGAAAGGTAAGGCTATGTCATGCCTCTTTGCCTCGGTACCATCCTTTATTTTCACTAAGATCATGAATATGACCAACGCGAAGGAGATGTGGGATTCTCTGAAAGAAGAGTATGAAGGGGATGAGAAGATACGGGGCATGAAGGTTTTGAACCTGCTCCGGGAATTTGAGAGACAGCAGATGAAGCCAAACGAGACAGTAAAGGTTTATGTTGATCGTTTGATCAGCATTGTGAGCAAGATAAGGATCTTGGGCACTGAAATGACTGATGAGAAGATAGTTCAGAAGGTGATGGTGTCTGTTCCAGAGCGTTTTGAAGCAACCCTTGCTTCCTTGGAGAACACTAAGGAGTTGTCACAATTGAAACTACCTGAAGTTCTTAGTGCTCTACAAGCGCAAGAGCAAAGAAGGCTGATGAGAAAGGAGGAGTCAGTTGAGGGAGCGTTGATGGCCAAGGCGAAAGCAAAGTGGCCAGAAAAGGAGAAGCAGAATCAGAAAACGAAGATGGATGCTACTCATAGCAAGGTAACGTTTTCTGAATCTGAGAAAGATGTTGATCAAGGCTTCTCTGAACCTTGTAAGCATTGTCAAAAGATTGGTCATCCTCATTGGAGATGTTGGAGAAATCCCAACATCAAGTGTCGAGGGTGTGGTAAATCTGGGCACATTGAGCGTTTCTGTAGAAACGAGAATGCTCAGATCATTGTAGAAGATTCTGGAGAGGTTGAAGAAGAGGTTGAAGATCTGTTTGTGGCATCGTGTTTTGGTTCTGGATCTGTCAAGGATGGATGGTTAGTGGATAGTGGTTGTACTAACCACATGACAAGAGATAGAAGCTCATTCAAGTGGATTAACACGATGTTCAAGTCGAAGGTCAGAATTGGAAATGGCGAGTTCATTTCAATGGAGGGAAAGGGAGATGTATGGATCAAAGGGTCGGATGGCACGAAGAAACTGCTGACAGGAGTGTTGTATGTGCCAGGGCTACTTCAAAATCTCCTAAGTGTACCTCAGCTGGTGATTAAGGGCTACAAGGTAATTTTTGACAAGAATGAGTGTGTTATTGGTAATGACACAACCCCTGTTCTATTTAGGATGCCTATGAGAAACAAGAGGTTCTCATTTTCGATGAAAAATGTGGGATACTGACTCTTGACTCACAAATGCATCATATCCCACATTTTTCATCGAAAATGAGAACCTCTTGTTTCTCATAGGCATCCTAAATAGAACAGGGGTTGTGTCATTACCAATAACACACTCATTCTTGTCAAAAATTACCTTGTAGCCCTTAATCACCAGCTGAGGTACACTTAGGAGATTTTGAAGTAGCCCTGGCACATACAACACTCCTGTCAGCAGTTTCTTCGTGCCATCCGACCCTTTGATCCATACATCTCCCTTTCCCTCCATTGGAACGCTGACGAAATTATGGAGGCTGAAGATGTTGAATCTGATGATGATGTTCCTGTCAGAGGTACAAGAACACTGCATGAAGTTTATGGAAGATGCAATGTGGCTATTCTTGAGCCATCTAGTTATGAGGAGGCAAGAAACGACAAGAGTTGGAGAGATGCAATGAAGGAGGAGCTCAAGATGATAGAAAAGAGACAGATTTTTTGGATGAAGCTTACAAAATGTGATGAGTTAAATCTGATTCGATATTCAGATAGTGAATGGGATGGTTTTGCAAATAATGTGAAAAACATTGAAGAACAAGAAGCAGTTTTGTTCATTAAGGGGTTGCATGATGGAAGGTTGGAGTTGTTAAGGAGCATGATCGAAGTGTGTGCGTGGCCTTTCGTCAAGGAGGAGATTGTTGGAACAAATGTGACTCAAGGCCACGTCACATGAGCTGGAGACAAATTGTCAATTCAAATGCGTGATTCAAGGCTAAGGAAGATCAGTTTCCAGATTCTGTAAAAATCTGGCACTATCATATCTTTCCTATTTTTCTTTGCAAGATTTTAGGATATTTTGATTTGATTTGATTTAGCTAGTATATTTAGAGTTGATTTGATTTTATTTCTATTATTAAGTTTTTGTCTGCTTTCCTATATATGTAATTGTTTTCTGATGAATAAAATTAGTTGAGTTTTCTCAAATTTCTTTGTTCTCTGTTTGTATTTCTGTAACAGAGTTTCTGTTCGAATTTGAGTGCTCACTCACCCAGACCGAAGTGCCACTGATCCTTATCTCGGGTCGAACAGTTTTTGCCCTTGTTGGACTATGTCTAATTGGTTCAGGGCAGTCACTGGATTGAAGTTCCTTGGATCCTATATAGCTTCCATATGATGATTCCACATCTATAGATTAGCCAAACCAAAGATTCAGATATTCTTGCTATGAAGCTTGGCTCTATCTGTGTACTCTTCATTCTTTGTGAATGTCTTGCAGAGATTGTGAAAAGGGACGATCACCAACATCTAAATATTTTATGTGAAGCTCCAATTCCTGGGGAAATCCCCAAATCTATGCATAAAGACATTTCAACCAGCAACCCTTTGATTCATTTTTTTTTATTACTTGCGCACAGTATAATCAGGTTTCTTGTAATTGGAAGTTTCTTACTATCCATAAAAACCTGACCTGAGTTACTTTGTCCATAAAAACAGAATCTTGGCTCATGGGTTACAGTCAAGCTCATACTCTATGCCTAACATTGCTGCTGATGATGTCTGCTGGTGTGAGATCAGATCTGACTCAGGACATAAAGGGATGCGAGGACGCCATGTCTGATCTCTCCTCTTGTCTCCCTTTCGTCACCAGAGAAGCTAAAGCTCCAGATCCTACATGTTGCAGCTCACTTAAGAAAGAAATAGACAAAGGCCAGACCAAGAGATGTCTCTGTACCCTTGTCAAGGACAGGGATGATCCCTCCTTAGGGTTCAAAGTGGATGCCAACCTTGCCATGAGCCTTCCTTCCATTTGCCATGTCCCTGCAAATGTGTCACAGTGCCCAGGTGAGATTTCAGATAATCCCTTATACTGCTGCAGTATTATCTGGAAATAGGAGAAGACTCCTTGCCAACTCTTTTCTGGTACAAAAAAATAGGCTGCGTCTTTATTGTTATTGCATTTTGTTTGCAAGAAGAGCTATTGCATTTGCCTCTGGATTCAGCTGATGCTCGGATTTTTAAACAATTCAGCGGATCTTCACAGAACAATGGCATGGGAGGTAATGATATTACCCCTTACATGTTTATTCCTCCCTGTTCTTAACTAATGGAGGGAAAATAAAAGGCAAAGCATGACAGACAAATTGAACAAAATAACCGCAGGAGTAGCTGCAAGTTCAAGTGTCAAGAGGAAGAGGCCTGTGGCAGTCTGGTTTAGGGTAGGGATGGTTGGAGGGGCTCTTTCAACATGGTATTTGATTTCGACATTATCCACATAATTATATTGTGCTCAGCACTATCTCTGTAACATATGACAACTTGGTATTTAATGGAAGTTTAAAATTCAGACCGTGAATCAGCGAACAAAAACAACTAAAAAAAAAACAGATGGACTTGTTAGAAGGAAACCAAGAGGGATGGGCAAAAATATGACCAAAATCGGAAGAACCAATGACTGTTTTTCAGGCCAATCCTACAATCAAACCACAAAAAAGATTTCACCTAAGACCCAGCATTAGTTATATCCAACTCTGAAATCTTAAGGTACCACATATATTTGGAAATATAGAAAATAAATAACAAGTTTAGTTTTAAATAAAGAACTTTGGGAGCCTAATCCCAAGCACTGGTCACTCCAGGGCCATACCCATAACCGTACCCGCCGCCGCCGCCGCCACCCTGGGCAGCTGCAGCATAACCGCCGCTGTAGTAATCATTACCGCCACCGCCTCTACTGAAAGAACCTTCCTTTCTGAAGTCACGACCACCGAAACGCCCACCAGAACGACGGTTCTTACCGCCTCCATAAGAAGCACGAGACGCGTACCGAGTGAGCCAGGCAGGCACCTCCTGGTTTGCTTCTTGCATCAGATCAGCGAGTGGCCTTGCAAGTGATGTGTTGTTGTCGTTGAAGAACGCAGTCGCTAGTCCTGTCTTGCCCGCACGTCCTGTCCGTCCAATGCGGTGGACATAGTCATCTACATCGTTTGGTAGATCAAAGTTCACGACGTGAGCCACGTGTGGAATGTCGAGTCCCCGAGCTGCGACATCTGTTGCCACCAAAATCGGAGTCCTCCCGCTCTTGAATGACCTCAACGCCACTTCTCTTTCCTGGTTGACACATCAAAACATAACATGGCAATAGTTTACCATTGGAACAGTTCCTCCCGAATCCTGAGCAATATTCATATTTTTATTCCTTGACAATGTTATCCTCCGGCAATCTTTTCTTGAATCTTAAATTAGAATAATGGATTTAGTGTTGAAAAAGAAAATTTTCAACTTCAACTGACCAACGACCAACCTGTTGTGATCTATCACCATGAATGGAGGTTGCTGGAAACCCATTCATGCACAGCCAGTGTTCCAATGAATCTGCTCCCTTCTTTGTCTCGACGAAAACTAATGTCAGAGCTTGCTGTAAATTTATGGAAGAGAAGAAAACAATCAATACTAATGCTGAAAACATGTCAGCTATATGATACACATGACAGTTAAACAAGTAGTAAAGCATTGACATGTAAACACAAAGCAAAGCCATAAAAACACTGGGTTTGCAGAATCAGTATGCACCACATTACCTTGTCTTGGATGCCACTCTCTCTTTGCGCATGAAGCAAGTCCATAAGATGGCTTCTCTTGTCAGATTCATGAACAAACTCTACTCTTTGGACAATTAATTCAGTACTTGAACCCACCCTTCCCACCGCCAAAAATATATAGTTTGACAGGAAATCAGACGCAAGTCTCTGCACATTTAAAAAGCAAATTGCAAATGTTTTAAAAAATGAAACGATTTTATATAGTGCTGAATATTATGCAGCTTCACAGAAAACAGGTCATTCGTGATGAGAGCATGAAAACAGGCACTGAACCATAGATGATCCGATCCGTATCATCCTAGGAGGAAATAGTAAAGAAAACCGTAATCCTCTTGACGTAAAAATATATCCATTTAATGCCACTAATGCCCACCATCTCATGAAACATGCAAATTTCCTCAGTACACAATTTTCTATTGCATCCACCTGTTTCATGAAATGGTGGGCATTATTCCTGCAGCCAGCTGAGGCCTATATTCGTATTATTTATTTACATTATTCACTACCAGTCAACACAAACAGGTTGATTTATGTCAACTGCTTTCTCTTTCCCCTTTCACTTGCCAAAGAACCACTGGGAGAGTTTGTTGAATGAAGGACCAAAAGATAGAAGCACAATAAACTAACTTCAATCAGGGAAAAACGTGATTGGTAAATGCTTTCTCAAGAAAACTAGATATCACAAGAACAAAATGAGACATGAGCAAAGAGACTTAAAAGAGGGAAATGTGAGAGCAAGAAGTGATTCGTAAGGGTAGCCAGGAGATGATCAAGCATATAAGTACCCTAAATCGATCTTCCAGACAGCAAAAAGGCAAATGCGAGAATACAGTGTGTTGTAGACAAGCAAAACAAACCTGAATCTCTCTTGGAAAAGTAGCACTGAACAACATTGTCTGCCGAACTCCACTTGGAGGCATGTCCATCTGTTCAACAATCTTTCTTATTTGGGGTTCAAAGCCCATGTCCAGCATCCTATCTGCCTCATCAAGAGCTAAAAATCTAATCATCTGTAACGAGATTCTAGCTCTCTCAAGCAAATCATTCAACCTTCCAGGAGTAGCCACAAGAATATCAACTCCCCTCTCAAGCTCTCGAAGCTGTACAAACAACAAAACAGGAAATCGGAAAATTGATGCTGGAGAAAGGATTAACTAACACATGCACTCAGGCCAGCAAACCAATTTTCAGCAAGGTTGCATATTAATACAGGAGTCATGAACAATTTCATCTGTTCAGATAAATCATCCAAAACTACAAGAGAACTGATATGGAAACCAAAACATGTTTTTAAATGGATAGCAAAACTCAAATCCCTAAGCATAAAAGACAGCATATACAAACAGACAACAGACTACAGGGACCTGTTGGTTAATCGGTGTTCCTCCATAGGCAACAACAACCTTCACACCGGTTTGATAGGAGAACTTTCTGGCTTCATCATGAATCTGTGAACAAAAAATTCTATAGAATGAGACATGCCTTGTATTAAGAGAAACTACAAAGAATAAATATATCTCGATATTGGACAAAAACCAAGACCTGGCATGCCAGTTCTCTTGTCGGTGAGAGGATGAGTGCAAGAGGATAGACTGTACGCGAACCGCGTGGCCTCTGCACATATGGCTCTTTCATAATTCCACTAATTATTGGAAAGCAAAAGGCAGCTGTCTTCCCAGATCCAGTCTGAGCACAAGCCATCAGATCCCTTCCTGAAAGCAATATCGGAATCGCATTACGTTGCACAGGTGTTGGCTTGACATATTTGCACCTACGGATATTTAGGTTTAAAGCCTCCCCCAGGTCTATCTCGGCGAACGTATTAACAGGAGGTGGGACATTATCCCCACTTGTCTCGACCGGAATATCCTCATAGGCATCAAAGTTGATGCCTGTATTCTCCTGCTCAGTAAAAGGTTGTTCTAACTCAGCCTCATCACCAAATGGATTAACTTCACGTTCCCTACGGTCCCAACCTCTACTTCTGTTGTTCCAACCACCATCTCCTTGTTGTCCACCATAGCCAGGACGCCCTGCATCTGTCCTGTAGCCGCCGCCACCAGCACCACCAGTAGCCCATCGTGAACCACCGGATGGGCCACTGTACCCTACACGACCATTGGCTGAAGCATGAGCAACCTGTTCAGCTGACGTTTGCATGTTCCGCAGATGTGGAGGAACATAAGCGGGTCTTGATGGCTGAGAATTGTGACTAGAAAACCCAGAGACCACCTTCTCTGATTCAGCAACATCTGCCCATGATGCACTCATAATTGCAACTGTATCCCGTCGTTAAACCAAAACAGCTTGTAACTTGCCAGGAAGATGGAATAGCCAAAACCTCGAAGATGCTCTCTTTGCTTTGTCTCTTTTTACCGTATACGACAAGTGAAAACCTTCGAAATATCAAATAGGTTCAAGTTAGAACAGGTACGATTCCCGGAATTGAGCAGTCGTGTGTGAAAAATAACGGAGACCCATCTATCCCGTCGTTAAACCAAAACAGCTTGTAACTTGCCAGGAAGATGGAATAGCCAAAACCTCGAAGATGCTCTCTTTGCTTTGTCTCTTTTTACCGTATACGACAAGTGAAAACCTTCGAAATATCAAATAGGTTCAAGTTAGAACAGGTACGATTCCCGGAATTGAGCAGTCGTGTGTGAAAAATAACGGAGACCCATCAAACCCAAAATGCTGGAAAATCATATAACCTAACCAAATTCATGGAGTAACTCAGGCGAATCAGAAGAAAAATCGACCAATCGAATAAGAACATAATCCAACCACGAAAAAACGAACATAAGAAGCAAATGCCATTAAATTCAGGTAAAACAGCATTCAACCTCTAGCTGAAACTCGAAATGGAGAAATACATCTGCGCAAACACAGAGAGAGGAAATAGAGAGAGAAACCTCAAAACTCGGTTGGGAGATTCGAATCGAAGGAATCAACGGTAATCGTTCATCCAGCGGAAAAGCCCGAGAGGAGAAAAACCCTAAAGAGTCCGTCTTCCCGTTTGGATCCGACACAACGCGTGAAAATAGGTCTATGCTTTTACGCTGAGCGACAGAATCTTGGGGAGAAATGACCTGAGAGGTCGAGATATTTATTTGACCTTGTTCCCCTTTCCTTGTTCTCTTCGTTGTATCCAGATTTCTTGCCGTTCCTACCAAAAATGCGTGTCGGTTTGGTTATATCGTAGCGGATTGCATGTCGGTGAGTTGTTGAGAACCTGATCATCACACGCGCCTTGGTCCATTAATTTAACTAGAAGATAACCGCGCGATGCGCGGTTTATTCTTTTTTTTTGTTATTATTAATTTAAAATATTTATCTTTTTAACCAAAAAAATTTATTAAATCATTATATTTATATATAAATATATGAAAAATAAATAAATAAATATCATTGCATTTCTATAGTATAAAATCATTATTAGTTGAATAAATTTATCAATATAATTTCATACATTTTCACAATCAATAGCATAATTAGCCAATAGCCAATATAATTGTAATATATGTATATGAATAAATAAAACATTAGTTGGATAATAAAATTTCTTAAATAATTTTATACAAATACGCTACTAAAATAAATAAAATTAAAAAAATTAATTGGATGAAGATCTCTTAACATTTATAAAAATAGATATATATGGATATATGATTCTAGGACATTTTTTTTTTACCAAGGTATGACATCCCCTCGTCAACGTGTTTGCTAGATACACACACTTATATAATCTCGATATATCTTCCAAGATATTCATATATATAAAAAGAAAAACAAAATCAAATCTATTCATATACATATATGTATATATATTAATTAAATTATTTCTTATTCGGTTATTCCATATTTATATTTGATCTTTTAATTTACTCCATTAAACTATCTAGTATTTGATATTTTTATCTCATCAATGTTGGAATTTAGCTTCGATTGATTTTATTTTGGTAATTGGTTCATTATTTGATTATATATGGATTTTTATTTTTAGGGGATTTGTACAGTTATAGTAGTTTTTACAATATATTTTAACAGAGAATGAAAATAAACTAAAGCATATTATATTATGCATTGACAACTTAGTTTTATATAGAAAATGTGTATAATTCTAAACACCGATTGATATGAAAAATTAAATAGAAACAAAGACGATATCTCTATTTGTGGTCCAAAATATCCCACCGATTAATAACTTACATGAATCCATTTCCATTCTGCAATTGATTCCAAGGGAGAAAGTAAACAACATGTTTGAACATAAATACATGGATATATATGTCGTTCATCGATTTAATTGAAAACATCATATATCCAGTAGAACAGATGAAGTTAGAGGAGAAAGCAAACTTCCTTCTAGAGGCAGAAGTCTTGATCATTTCGACACCTCTCATCGACATCTTTTTGAGTTTCGATATTGTCTCGCTAGGTTATTGCATTAAGAGAAAAGAGTAGACAACCGTATCAATGGTCTATGTTTACTCGTATGTCTTCACCACATTGATCGCTCATCTCACTTCCAAATCCATCTTATCTTCCTATAAAAATCACTCAAAGCCAAAAGCCATAACTGAATAGAGCATTAAACAAAAAACATCATAATGCAGATGAAATAAAGAGGATCGAGTCTAAGAGACCTTATCAAATATCGGAAACTTCGGCGGTTGTATCTACAAATAAGAAGATCCGAATCATATTGTACACAATTCACTTGAGCTATTTTTCATGGCACCTTAAATTGTCTCCCATGATTTTCCACATAAAACCATAAACATTATAACAATTAAAATTTTAATTGATAATTAAAAACCGTCATTCATTAATATAAAATTAAAAAATATATAATCTACACTCTTTTCAAATATTAAAATATCACTTAAATATAAAAATACTTCAAATTATAAACTAATATTAAAAACTATTAATTTATGGTATCACTTATTTATAAAAATAATCGATATTTTACAAATTAAGTGTATATAATAATTTTAATGTTATATATATATATATATATATTTGAATTTATATTATTCTATTGTAGTAAAAATTTAGGTGGATTATTAAAGGAAAAAATTATTTCTTGAAAAAAATAAATTTATAGTATATTTTTAAAATATTTTATATTAGATTAATTCCATCATATTTGATTGATTTTTATTTTAAATTTGTATATATTAAAATATGTAAATTTATACATTAAATATCAAATTGGTTGGTAAATATTTTTCATTTAAAATAAAGTTTTATCCATCTATTTTTATTATGTATAAAATTATAAGTTATAATTTGTCATTAAGATATTTTATGCATAGAATGTTATTTTTTTTATCGAATTAATCTAATATAAAATAATGTTATAGTTTTTTTAAAATAAAAATTAAAAAATTAAAATAACCACAACTATTACAATAGATAACTATAATATTATATATTTCATGCTTTTATGTTGAGTTTTAAAAAGATCAAGAATTATATTTTTATACCAAATATTTTCTTCCTCACCTGAGTCTACAATTCTTCCGTCGAAATATATACAGATCTTTTTATTTTTTCATAAAAAAAAAGGTCATGTGACCTTCCCCTCTTTATATGGTGCTTTCAATATATTATTATGATTCGAATGTTTTTATTCTGATTTTTTTTTCCCTATATCGTCTATCTACATCCGTATTGAATGATATGCTTTGATTTGTTACAGTAAATGTCTCAAGAATAAAAGTTTGCTTTATTAGTATTTAAGATATTTCTAGAGTTTTAGTGAAAATTAAAGTGGGATGTTTTCCATGCCTACGTATATACTTGCATGTACGTATATTTTGACCCATTTATTTCATTCATGCATATATGTACTACCATTGATGATTTTATAATCTGGATCTATTTATTTCATTCATGCATATATGCGCCACCACACATATTTATGGTCCCAACTACCATTGATGATTTTGTTACTTTCTTTTTCCTCTTGGGATCAAATAATACTATACAATTTATATTTGGCACTGATGTGAAACAAGGCCATACGATTTGCCACAGAGCATGAAATATATAGCCCAAAGGTAATCACGAAAATCAAGATCGGGATGATCGAATGTATCAAAATAAGGAGCTGATTTTGTTTTGTGGCAAAGATATTTGAGTTTTCTGTTTTCTGTTGTATTCCTTTTTTAAGTGTTTCTATTTTGTTTTTATAAAAAAAAATCAATTTGTTTTGTTGAATAAAAAAATAAGAGTAATAATATCTTAGCAATTTTTTAAATAAAAGTCAAATTCGACTTGACCACAAATTGAACACAACCGAAATTCGTAAAAACAAATTGATTTTTTTTATAAAAACAAAATAGAAACACTTAAAAAAGGAATACAACAGAAAACAGAAAACTCAAATATCTTTGCCACAAAACAAAATCAGCTCCTTATTTTGATACATTCGATCATCCCGATCTTGATTTTCGTGATTACCTTTGGGCTATATATTTCATGCTCTGTGGCAAATCGTATGGCCTTGTTTCACATCAGTGCCAAATATAAATTGTATAGTATTATTTGATCCCAAAAGGAAAAAGAAAGTAACAAAATCATCAATGGTAGTTGGGACCATAAATATGTGTGGTGGCGCATATATGCATGAATGAAATAAATAGATCCAGATTATAAAATCATCAATGGTAGTACATATATGCATGAATGAAATAAATGGGTCAAAATATACGTACATGCAAGTATATACGTAGGCATGGAAAACATCCCACTTTAATTTTCACTAAAACTCTAGAAATATCTTAAATACTAATAAAGCAAACTTTTATTCTTGAGACATTTACTGTAACAAATCAAAGCATATCATCCAATACGGATGTAGATAGACGATATAGGGAAAAAAAATCAGAATAAAAACATTCGAATCATAATAATATATTGAAAGCACCATATAAAGAGGGAAATGTCACATGACCTTTTTTTTATGAAAAAATAATTGTTCATAAGACTATGAGTGCCTCCGATGTGAAACTCAGGACATAGATGAAACCTTGTCGGCAAGAAAGCATGGTTTAGCTCTTGGGGCCAATGTCCTTGAGACCACATATATGCTCCTCTCCCATGGCCGACATAACAGACACCAAAAGATCCTTCCCATCACCGAACGCCGACTTGATCTATTCAAACACAACGGTTACTACATATGTTAATGTTCCACTCGATTAAGATACCGGTATTACGGTATCGTATAAATCTATAAGTGGAAGAAAGTGCACAAAA